CTGGAAGTATTCCCCTTGAAAACTGGTATAAGACAAGGATGACCTCTCTCACCACTCCTATTCAACATAGTATTGGAAGTTCTGGCCAGGACAATCAGGCAAGAAAAATAAAGGATATTCAAATAGAAATGGGGAAAGCCAAACTTTTTTTTCTTTTTTTTTTTTTTTACAGAGAAATAATTCTGTATCTAGAAAACCCAACAATCTCAGCCCAAAAAGGTTCTTAAGCTGATAACTTGAGCAAAGTCTCAGGATACAAAATCAATGTACAAAAATCACTAGCATTCCTATACACCAACAGTCAAGCTGAGAGCCAAATCTGGAATGCAATCCTATTCATACCTGACACAAAAAGAATAAAATACCTAGGAATACAGCTAAACAGGGAGGTGAAAGATCTCCTTTCAAGGAGAACTACAAAACACTGCTCAAAGAAATTAGAGATGATACAACACATAAAAATAAAATTCCATGCTCACGAACAGAAAGAATCAATATCATAAAAATGGCCATACTGCCCAAAACAATTTACAGATTCGATACTATTCCAATTAAGCTACCACTGAGACTCTTCATAGAACTAGAGAAAGCTATTTTAAATTCATATGGAACCAAAAAGGAGCTGAAATAGCTAAGGCAATCCTAAGCAAAAAGAACAAAGCAGGAGTCATCACTATCTGACTTCAAACTATACTACAGGGCCACAGTAACCAAAACGACATGATACTGGCACAAAAAACAGACACATAGGCCAATGAAACCAAATAAAGAACCCAGAAAAAAGGCTGCACTTCTACAACTATCCAATCTTTGACAAATCCGACAAAAACAAGCAATGAGGAAAGGATTGCCTATTCAGTAAATGGTGCTGGGATAACTGGCTAACCATATGCAGAAGATTGAAACCGAACGCCTTCCTTATACCATACACAAAAATTAACTGAAGATGGACTAAAGACTTAAATGTAAAACACAAAACTACAAAAATCCTGGAAGATAATCTAGATAATACCATTCAGAACATAGGAATGGGCCAAAGACTTCACGATGAAGATGCCAAAAGCTATTACAACAAAAGCAAAAATTCACAAATGAGATCTAATTAAACTAAAAAGCATCTGTGCTGAAAAGGATACTATCAACAGAGTAAACAGAATGGGAGAAAATGTTTGTAAACAGTACATCTGACAAAGGTCTAATATCCACCAACTATAAGGAACTTAAACAAATTTACACACGAAAATAAATTCAAGTGGGCAAAAGACATGAACACTTTTCAAAAAAGAACTACATGCAGCCAACAATCATAAACAAAAAAAGCTCAAAATCACTGATTGTTAGAGAAATGCAAATAAAAACCCCAGTGAGAAACCATTTCACACCGGTAGGAAATAGCTAATATTAAAAAGTCAAAAAAATAACAGATGCTACGAAGGTTGTGGAGAAAACCTTGCACTACAGCATGGATGAAAGAGCAAGACTCTATCTCAAAGCAATGAAAAAATACACATGCACGTGTATGTTCATTGTAGCACTATTCACCACAGCAAAGACATGGAATCAACCGAAATGCTCATCAGTGATAGACTAAAGAAAATGTGATACATACAAAACAAGGAATATTATGCAGTCAGAGAAAAAGAATGAGATCATGTCCTTTACAGGAACATGTATGAAGCTGCAAGCTGTCATCCTTAGCAAACACAGGAATAGAAAACCAAATACTACATGTTCTTACTTGTAAGTGGGAGCTAAATGATGAGAACACGTAGACACAAAGAGGGAAACAATACACACTGGGGCCTATCAGTGAGTAGAGGAGCAGGAAGAGGGAGAAGATCAGGAAAAATAACTAATGGGTATTAGGCTTAATTACACAAATTTACCTATATAAAGAACCTACACATGTACCGCTGAACTTAAAAGTTAAAAAAAAACAACAAAACCTAATATTTTTTTGAATACTAGAAGAATGTTTCCTCAAATTTTGGGGCTTTTCCCAGTGTAATGCCTACATATATCAGAAAATTTTATATTTAATATGCACTGTTACATTTTTTTCTCAGAGAACTTTGTTCTGATTATTTACATTTTTCATCAAATTTTCTGAAAACAACTCAATCCCTAATTTTTCGTGTTTGCTGATTTTTATGTTGTGAATATTCCAACCATAGCCAAGAAAAAAAGATGCACAATAGCCATGCAGTTATAAAGTATCTCTACCATATAGATACAATACATGGAAATAACCTAAAGAGGACAGATAATAATAAAATATATTAGGTATAGGGAGTGATGAGCTTTTAGTACTTAGTGCCTTTGGTTTTAAGCAATATTAAAAGGTCTAATATCCAGAATCTATAAGGAACTTAAACAAATGAGATACTATTTTATGCCATGAAAAACAACTGGCTTTTGAAATTCTTAAAAATTTAATTCCTGGAGGCCTCACTATTCCCTAATCCTGCCTACATATCTGTAAGTAGTCCCTCCATTAGATTTTCCTAGCTGAGATTTGGTTTGATATTCTGACATTGCTTTAGTTAAGGTCTTCATTGTTTCTCTTTTCTTCAATGCCCCCTTGCATCTAGTTGTAGTGCTCCTCAATCCACTTCAGAGAGTGATTTTACTAGAAAGTGTATGGCACTGTGCTTCTGAAACAAACAAAAGTTTCAAGGATCAACAAATGTAAGTTTATGAGTTCCCTATAACAAGTGAGGTGCCCTCCTTGTCTATACCTTAGTTATAGTAATTTTCATACTCTGATGTAATTACAAATAAGTAAATCTCTCTTTGTTAGGAGATTGTAACCCCTTGGAGGACAAAATTCTATCCTACTCAACTCAGAGACTAGTATCTGGTTGATGATCAATAAATATGTAGTGGATAAAGCTTTTCAGATAAAATTATTACAAAGTACTTTTTAAACAAAGTTTTTTTGTATTATCATTCTATGGAAAGTGTCAGTGCAATTTATCTCCAGCAAATTAGTTTCCTGTCTAAGTCTAATATTCTGTGACTAAGTAACATATTAGCAGAGAGTTAAAAAACAAACAAAAAAAACAAAAATAACCTTACTTATGAATTGAGCTTATATTGATATTTGATTTCCTTTTCAAAACGCTTTTCACCAATCCATGTGGGCTACCTTTCCCACAAAATATTAGTCAATCTCAATAAAGAGTACAATAAGATCTTTGAAAGTAGTCTTCACAGTTCCAGGGGCATAATCAAAGTTTTGTTCTGAATTGATACTTTTACAGATCTGAAAATTAATTATATTTTATTTTTATTTCTATTATAATGAACTGGACTATATGTGTGATGGTTAATACTGAGTGTCAACTTGATTGAAGGATACAAAGAATTGATCCCGAATGTGCCTGTGAGAGTATTGCCAAAGGAGATTAACATTTGAGTCAGTGGGCTAGGAAAAGGCAGAGCCACCCTTAATCTGGGTAGGCACCATCTAATCAGCTGCCAGCACAGCTATTTATAAGAAGGCAGAAAAATGTGAAAAGAGAGACTGGCCTAGCCTCCAAGCTGCATCTTTCTCCCATGGTGGATGCTCCCTGCCCTCAAAAACTGGACTCAAAATACTTCAGTTTTGGAACTTGGACTGGCTCTTCTTGCTCCTTAGCCTGCAGATGACCTATTGTGGGACCTTGTGATCATGTGAGTTAACACTTAGCAAACTCTCCTTTATATGTGTTTGTGTGTGTGTGTGTATATATACATATATATATATGTGTGTGTATATATACACACATATATACACACATATACACACACACATATGTGTGTGTGTGTGTGTGTGTGTGTATAAAGGCTGGAAGAGAGAAGGCAGGGTAGCAGGAGTACAGACCATGGACATTTGAGCCACTTCCTCATGTAACTTGCTTGTGCCTTCAGGGGCTGCTCAAGTTTGATCACATATATACCACTTCCATTTGAGGATGGAAGGCTGCTGTGCACAACCCACTTTACGGTTAGATGGGTCAGAAAGCAGCCAGTTCATGATAGGCAGTTCAGGTCACATGGTGACTTGCAGACCCAAAGTCAAACGTTCAGTTTCCACCAAAGCCCAGTAACAGGCCAAGAGCTGTCTCAAAAGGAGAGTAGTTATCTGCAGAAGATGGCAAGGCTTTGCTCCAGAATCCTAGAGGCCTCTGCTTTGATTCACCTATGGGGGCCTGCCAAAGGCTCCAAACAGCATCCCTATCTGCCACTGACATCTCAAGCACCATTGGAGCTGCTGGGTCGTATTGCCCAAGGAGCACAGCAGCTTGCACAGCAGCCTGGGCCTGTTGCAGAGCCTTCTACTCTTCTGGATCCCACTCAAAACTGGCAGCCTTCTGGGTTACTCAATAAATGGGCTGGAGTAACACATCCAAATGAGGAATGTGTTGCTTCCAAAAATACAAATAGGCTCATTAGGCATTTTTCCTTTCTTGATTTTATTAGGGGACAAATGCAGCAACTTATCCTTCACCTTAGAAGAAATATCTCAACAGGCCCCACACCACCGGACCCCTAGTAAGATTACTGAGGCAGAAGTTTCCTGAATTTTAGTCAGATTTATTTCCCATCATCTAGCACACAAATGTCTCATTAAGTCCAGTGTGTTTGCTACTTCTTGCTCACTGATTTAATCAGCATAATGTCATCAATTCATGGACCAGTGTGATATCTTGCAGAAGCAATAAGCGATCAAGGTCTCTCTGCATAAGATAATGACACAAAGCTAGAGAGCTGATATACCTCTGTGGTAGGACAGTAAAGATAGATTGCTGGCCTTGCCAGCTGAAGGCAATTTGCGTCTGGTGGGACTTATGGGCAGGAGTGGAGAAAAAGTCATTTGCCAAGTCAATGGCTGCGTACCAGTTACCAGGAGATGTGTTAATTTGCTCAATGTCTTGGTCTGTCATCATTTTACTACGTTTTCTAAATGTAGGGGACTAGCAAATATCTTTGAAATTCCCCCCAACAGTTTTTAGTACCTGGAAAAGAGGGCCTATGTCCACGTCGAAACCAAGATCAGCAAATCCTGTAGCAATAACTTTTGCTCCTCTGTCATGGCCATCTTGTCCCATTTTTGCTACAAGAAGACGAGGTCGGCGACCTTCACGTTCCATGAATTTATGAACCCTAAAAAACATTTAAAAATATATCAGTAGTTAGATATTAATTTTCCAAAGGTAGGATATAAAAACTAATTCATTCACAGCAACTCTTTCAAGTTTATTTAAAAATGCCTGATCTGTTTACTTGTATTTTGGGAATTTTTGTTGTTTTCTTTTTTTTTTTTTTTTTTTTTTGATTTTTTTTT